TTGGACCAAAGAGAGATGAAGTGACAGGAGGTTGGAGAAAACTGCATAATGAGGAGCTTGTTCTCTTCTCCAAGTATAATTAGAATGCTCAAGTCACGGAGGATGAGGTGGCCAGGGCATGTAGCACGAAATGGGGGAGACGAATGCATATAGGATATTGGTGGGAAAGCCAGAAGGAAAGAGACCACTGGGAAGACCAAGGAGTAGGTGGGTGGACAATATTAAAATGGATCTTAGAGAGATAAGATGGGATGGATTGGATTGATCTGGCTTAGGATAGGGACCAGCAGAGGGGTCTTGTGAACACGGTAATGAACCTTCGGGCTCCATAAAATGCTTGGAAATTCTTGAGTAGCTGCAGAATTGATGGCTCCTCAAAAAGGGCTGAGCTCCTTGAGTAAGTAAGTAATTAAGTATTACAGTTCTTTCATTAATGAAATTCCAATTATGTATATTTTATATATCTTATTTGTTAATGATTGAGATTTGCTCATTTTCCTTTGTTGCCCCTTCTCCAAAAATGGATAAAATCCTTACGTTCCCATTGCCTTTCCCCTCTTTGTTGATTTTAGATAGTATGGCCACATCAGCATTGAGTTTATTAAGTTCACACTATATCTCTTGTATTTTCTTTGTTAATCCCTGAATGTTCCAGCAGCCAGGATGCATTATCTGTTTCTGTTTGCCCAGCCTGTTGTGGTGTTTGTGTCTGTTTTCTATATCATCATGTCTTTTAGCATATGTATATTTTTGTGATGGAGCGGAGCAGGCCCACTGCATCGACCCCTAACCTGGGGAACAGGATTTTCTGTCTTAGCCTTCGGTGTCCCCACACCACTCTTGCAAGGCAAGGTGGTATCAGAAAGTTCGTGTACTATTATTGTTGTAACTGCCTCGGTGAAAGAAGGTGAGAGGGAAGGCAAAGATCACACGCAAGCTTATTGCATTAGTGTGCCATGTGACGCTGCCCAGTGAACATGCATTGTTTTTACACGAGCGCTCTTTTGACTTCATATTTTATTTTGTCTGCAATGGATGGCAAAATTGCGCAATGTGTCTGCATCAAGTTTTGCATGAAGGTTGGTAAATCCGCTACCAAAATCCTTGAAATGCTTCATGAGGCTTTTGGAGAACATTCTTTAAGCCAGGCAGCGGTTTTTTGATTGGTATTCACGTTTCAAGGCTGGTTGAGTGTCATTTGAAGATGACAGATGTTCAGGGCTACCAAGCACCAACAAAATGACAGAAAATGTTAAAAGAACTTGAGAACTGAAGTTCATCAATGAAGACTGTTGCTGAACAGTCCCTGAGCTCGCAGACACTGTTGAGATCTGTTATGAAGTTTGCCAGGAAATCTTGAAAAAAATTTGAACATGCACTGCATTGCTCCTTCATCACGACAACACACCAGCCTACACATCCCTGAAAACCAAAGAGTTTGTGACTAACAGCAATATGGCTATCATTCCACATCTTCCCTTCTCGCCAGACTTAGCTTTCGCTTTGTTTCCCAAGTTGAGAATGAAACCGAAGGGATGTTTTGAAACAGTGTCTGACATCCAAAGGGAATTGCAAGCGGTACTCGACAGAATTAAAGAAAGTGACTCCCACAGTGCTTTTGAAGCATGGTAAAAATAATGGGATTGCTGTATATCTTCCAAAGTAGACTATTTTGAAGGAAATGGCAGCCAAAATTGAGTAAGTTGAGCCAGCATTTCTTTTTTGACCTAGTTTGGGAACTTCCTGATACACATCATACTCCGAGACGGTGCTGTCAGCCAGAGCCAGCTGAACCCAATTTTTTTTTATATTGTTACTTCTTAACCAGGATTATGACTAGCTGTTGTGGAATATATACCTATCTAGAAACTAACTAACTTCATGGAGCTGAGCCCTTCTTTAGGAGCTGCCAGTTGTTCAGCTATTCAAGAACGTTGCAGCATTTTATGGAACCCAGAGGTTCATTATCCTGTTTACAAGAGCCTGCCACTGGTCCCTCTCCTGAGCCAGATTATTCCACCCCATAGTATCTAAGGTCAGTTTTAATATTCTCCACCCATATACATCTTTGTCTTCCTAGTGGTTCTTTTTCTTCTGGCTTTCCCATCAATATCCTGTATGCATTTTCCCCCATTTGTGCTACATGCCCTGTCCATCTCACCCTCCTTGACTTGGCCATTCTGATTATACTTGGAGAAGAGTACAAGTTATGAAGCTTATTATGCAGTTTTCTCCATCCCATCACTTCATCTCTCTTCANTGTTTCCCAAGTTGAGAATGAAACCGAAGGGATGTTTTGAAACAGTGTCTGACATCCAAAGGGAATTGCAAGCGGTACTCGACAGAATTAAAGAAAGTGACTCCCACAGTGCTTTTGAAGCATGGTAAAAATAATGGGATTGCTGTATATCTTCCAAAGTAGACTATTTTGAAGGAAATGGCAGCCAAAATTGAGTAAGTTGAGCCAGCATTTCTTTTTTGACCTAGTTTGGGAACTTCCTGATACACATCATACTCCGAGACGGTGCTGTCAGCCAGAGCCAGCTGAACCCAATTTTTTTTTATATTGTTACTTCTTAACCAGGATTATGACTAGCTGTTGTGGAATATATACCTATCTAGAAACTAACTAACTTCATGGAGCTGAGCCCTTCTTTAGGAGCTGCCAATTGTTCAGCTATTCAAGAACGTTGCAGCATTTTATGGAACCCAAAGGTTCATTATCCTGTTTACAAGAGCCCGCCACTGGTCCCTCTCCTGAGCCAGATTATTCCACCCCATAGTATCTAAGGTCAGTTTTAATATTCTCCACCCATATACATCTTTGTCTTCCTAGTGGTTCTTTTTCTTCTGGCTTTCCCATCAATATCCTGTATGCATTTTCCCCCATTTGTGCTACATGCCCTGTCCATCTCACCCTCCTTGACTTGGCCATTCTGATTATACTTGGAGAAGAGTACAAGTTATGAAGCTCATTATGCAGTTTTCTCCATCCCATCACTTCATCTCTCTTCGATCCAAACATTCTCCTCAGCTCCCATTTCTCAAACACCCTCAGTCTATGTTCCTCCCTTAATTTCAGAGACCAAGTTTCACACCCATACAGAACCACAGTCAAAATTACGGTTTTGTATATGCTTATTTTTATGTTTCTAGGCAGCAGAAAAGAGGACAATAGGTTCTGGGCTAAATGGTTGCATGCAGTATCCAAATTCAGCCTCCTCGTAATTTTCTCCTGAATTAGATTTTGAATTACTGTCATTCCAAAGTATTTAAACTGTGCCACAATTTGAATGTGTCTGTTAGTTATCTTTATGTCATGGTTTTCCCCAGCATTTTGGTGATGAGACAGTAACAAATTATCATGTATTAGGTGTTTGTGTTTTGGATTTAATGATCAAATTTATTGGACCTTTATACAACTTGTTACAACATTTCACAAATGATTATCTTTGACTGGACACTCTTGACCTCTGACCACACTACTCATACAGCTGAACTGACAGTTATTTTTGGCTTTTTGTTATATAGCTTTGGGTTGGACCACGCAGAAAACACATTCATTGCCTAGCAGTGGATGTCCTCTGTTGCATATTTGTTGCTGTGGGATGTGTTTACTGAGTCCTTGCCTAGCAGTGGGTCTGTGTGTCACAGTATACTTAGTTTCATCTGTGTATACTTCTAGACCAATCTTCTTACTAGCATCAATCAAAGTTTCTGTGTTTTTCTTTATTGTATCTGTTTATCACCCAGTAGATTCACATCATTGGCAAAGACTAGCAGCTGATGCTTCCCATTCAATTTCAGTCCCACCTGGTTTTCCTGGACCTTCCTAATGGCATATTCTAAAGCAAAGTTGAAAAGCAGTGGCGATAAAACATCTCCTTGTTTTAGACCATTCTGGATAGGAAAATTATCAGACAAATGTTTATCTATATAGACTTTACTATTTTTTTATTTAAACACATTTTAATCAGCCTGACTAGTTTCATGGGTACCCCAAACTTTATGATAATATTGTACAATACTATCCTCCTGACTGAATCATATCAATCACAAAAAACAAATATAGTGTTAATAATTTACTTCACTACATATTTCAGTTTTACAAACTCCGTGGTGACATGGATAATTAATTACAAAAGCATTGTGTGCCGATTGCGCTCTGCTACCACTTGTGCCGTTTTCCTTCCTGATATCTAGCACTTCTTACGTCCGAGATAGGAGCGGCGCATCGTCAGGGGCTCTCATGTTATGTTCACAATGCTCCCTAGATGTAGGGACTCCAAGCCACAGCAGGGAGACACTTCCAATCGACAAGACCAGTTCACAATCATAAATTAATTTAATAAGAGAAACACAATAAAACAGAATACAACAATTAGAAGTTAATAGAAGCCGTGGGCCCCAAAACATACAACCTGTGACCACATCTGTCAGTTACTTTACTCTTGCCTTAACTGCGGCATCAGACTACATTTAACGGCCCACTCTCACTGCTTATTACTCTTGTTTACCATCATGCTACTTCAGCAGGCACAAAATAAACGTTAAAAAATATTCCTTGCCACAGGCGATTCCTTCCAAAACCGAATTTGAAAAATATCCCAGGCTGGCCGCGTACGTCTGATACACTGTGGATCCAAACAGCAAATGAAAATTGATTCACTAACTGGCTTCTTCTGAGCCATTTGGGGAGGGGACGGGGAGAGGAAGCGGAATCCCACGTTATACCCTCCAACAAGGGATGAAGGGGTAGGGATTAACATGGCTGGAAGGCATGACATCATCCAAGAGCCATAACATGGCTCAATTGTAATGATTTTGACTATCTATAATGGCTTAATAGATGTTGTGTGGTTTTAGATCCATAATAAGAGATTTGTCTGTAAATTTTCTGTTTCTGTCAGTGATATAGATTATCCACTTAAAAATAAATGTACTGTACTTGTGTGTAATTAAATTTTAATTGTGATTTGTCTCTTGTTTCTGTTATTTAGAACACTTGGGCAGGCAGATAATGCTACTTCAAGAGTCATATCACCAAAGCACATTCCAGTCCCAAGTATCCCTCAGGAAGGCAATTTTAAATTTGAGATCACCATGTTTGTCTTCACGGTAATGACCTCTTTTCTGCAGTTTATCCATCTCTATCGAAGTGTTTGGTGGTTACCCCAGTCATATACAAGATACACAGTGGTAAGTATTGGTTGCTATACAGATACACCATGGTGTGGTTAGTATACTATGCATGATACACCATTATTAGTGTGGGGTAATGTACAGGATGCAGCATAGTGAGTTAACAACACAAATTACACCATATTGAATGTATTGTGGCATATAGACCTGTTTCTAGGCAATGACTGCAAAACAAACAATGAAATAACATTTGCTGCTAGGAAGCAGATTTTAATAAGCAAGAATAGACGACCGCTACTATTAAACGGCTCAGTAAACATGTTCCTGTGGCAATGGATACACATGCAACAATAGAGGAACTGCTGGAAACAGTGTTTTCTATGCAGCCCTTTCTGAGATGTTATAACTGGGACAGTCTGGAGCAACCAGTTCACTGCTCAGTTGAAAGTCTGGCTGTGAAGAGAAGACTAGTAGGTTGGTGTGAAATGGCCGCCCACCTTGGAGCTAGCCAGTTGAAAGTCAGGCTGTGAAGAGAAGACTTTATGTGTGCTGTAGCTACAGTGATATGTGGAGTGTGTAATTCCATGAGACAGTTGGAAGGGAGCCGCCATTCAGAGAGGACTTCAGCCCGGAAGCAGCCATTGTTAGAAGCTGTTACCAGGCAACTACTAGTTAAGACACTGTGGGCAGGAAGAGACTTACCTTGTGCTCTTGTGATTTCTAAAGTGTGGAATTCAGTAATAGTGTAGTTAAAACCTGTAAGTGATCAGCAAATTCAGTATCCAGTCTTAAACTCCATTTGCAGTCACTCTTACACATGACAATATTATACAAAAAAAAAAAAGTCAAGAAAAATCACATTGTCATATGATAGTGACCAGGCATAGGGTTTGGATTTATTACTGAGTTTGTTGAATGCTTATTACTCATAACTGTAGATAACTATAGCACTTTCACTATTCTGCACAGTCTTTAAATAACTACAGATGATGTTGCTTGATAGTGGCTTCCAACTGTGGAGATTTCCTCCACTGCTTTTGTGCTCACTGGTTCCTCTCCTTAATGGCTGATGACTGACTGCTAACCATGGCCCTAGTCTGGTCTGGTAATTTTCTACTGGCCTTCACCAGCACATTGATTATTGGTTTTGGGCCCTGTGGGACCCATGACCAATTTTTTTTTGTGTCATGGCTCTTGAGTTGTGAGACTTTCCAGCTGTGGAATTGGTGCTGGCCTTCACCAGCACAGTTATTTGTGATTTCGGGTCCTGTGGGACCCATGATCATATTTTACTGTCTGTGAGTCTCACTCCACTGCCCTGAGCAGAGCAGTGATCTTCTGCTGTCCCTTGCCAGCATAGTCATTCTTAGTTCCAAGCTCTGCTGACCATATTTTGTTGTCTTCTGTTTGTCATGATGCTGGTATTCCTTATATAACTTTGGCATGGACTACATAGATAACACTTCTTTAAACAGTTCCTCTGTTGTATGCATATTCATGGTAGCTGGAATGTGTTTACCAAGTCATTGGCTAGCAGTGAATGTCTTCTGTGGCTCCACTATTCTGGCTTTCAGGCAGGGCTTGAGGTGGGGCGGGATGCGGGGGGATGGCATCCCGGTTCTTTTCTAAATGGCTTAAAAGCATCCCGTTACTTCTTTGGCAGTAAATGCAATGTACAATACCTTTTTTGTTGTTGTTATCTGTTTCATGGTTGTACAGGCTACTCCCCTGCGTCGTCTAACTAAATTTTGCTTTCGTGTGGTACTGTTTGAAGCACCCTAGAATGCACAGTCCCACATCACATTTCTTGCACTTCATCTGAACACGTTTCCTCTTTCCACGTGCAGAACATACACGGCATTTCATTCTCATGGCACAAGAGGTGAGCCAGTGATGTCGAATGGCCTCCTCTAGACAAAATATTGTGGATGACAGAGCAGGAGGTTGACTTAATGGGCGTTGTGGTTGGGAGCGACACATTACAGCATGTTCCAGCATGTTGCGCATAAGAGTAAGACGAAAGTCCCTATGTGACAGTTTCGCACCGCAGGATGATAGCATGATGAAACTGTTCAGAATCGTCAGATCCAGTAAATGGAAGACGCTTGTTTGGAAGCAATAAGGGTTTTTCAAAGAAAGTAGGGGGCAGGCAATTTTCCTTTGTATCAACTTCTGCCAAATACCCTGAATAAGCTGAGAAACTTGTGAAGATAGAAATATATAGGCTTATGGCCAGCACAC